GATAGGCCAATTTATTTTCAATTGAATGCAATGTTTTCCCGATATCGACGAGATGTCGAACAATTCTGTATTAATGATCCTTTCGTAAACTAGTATATATGTAACTGGTGACCAATGAAGTCCATCTCTGAATAGAAACAAGAGATATGGAACACCCTAGATGTCGCTAATATACGGTGACCACTACCCATTCACCGATTTCTTTTTCAGTAATCAATTTCAATATATATACCCCAACCGATACACATAGATATGTGATATTCGTATCACATGGAATTTAACTGCAATCGTTTGCAGCATAAATCAGACGATGAGACTTAAAGTCAAGTCAAAACTCGTTCTGGTACTATGTATCACCACTGTCGGTGAATAATTTTTATATTTTTGTTTTTGATCCCATGTAGGATCATTTCTAACAGTGTATACAACTAAACCGTCTCATGGCACCCTTAAGCAAGGTCAAAACCGATCGAAAGTGTCGCTTGATTTAATTAATAAATTCAATTGTATATACCCCGTATATTCTTGAATTTAGTGCCATATCTAATATTTCTTTTTTTCTTTTTATCTCAAAAGATAACAAATTAGAAAATATTAGTCATCATTTACGAAAACTCCTTAGAAGTTTGTTGAAACCTTTATTTTTTCCCTAAAACTTATACATAGCTTTTATCCTTCCGTAATTTGATCGTTTCGAGTAAAATTAGCTGCATGTCAAACTTCAAACTTGAATTCAATAATTCAATGGTTGAACTTCAAGTATTCAATTATTCATCTAAGAGAAACCACTAACACAATGGATGATCATACATTAACACGCACAAACACCACACCCCATGCTGTGGGTGCCGCGAAAGGACTGATCGAGTAAACGACTTTCACATTAGCAACAACTGAATAATTTAAACAGATTTTGAATTATTCAAATCAAACATCAACTTTGACACTACTGGCTCTCAATCTCAAAATCTTTTATAATAAAATAATATTATTCCGGATTTTGTTATTACGAAATAGTTCTTAACTACTTGAATATACTGGAGAGTTTAGAATTCTTATGTAATTATAGATTGTAAACATACCTGATGATAGACCCTTAAGCAGGGTCGAAATGCGTCGTTTGATGCTCTCAATCTCAAAATCTTTTATAATTAAATAGATTTATTACCATTAATTCTTTATTTCTTCCGATTAGGAGGGTATAGAATACCTAAAAAAATAGTTTGTTAACATTCCTGATGAAGACTGTGTAAGCAGCAGTTGAAAGGCGCCGTGTGATGCTTTCCAACTCTTATCTTCTAAAATAATGCATAAACTTACCTCCTATTTGAGTCGAAACGGCTCATGGGAGCTCATACTTTAACATTTAAGTTTGACTACTCTCACAGTATTACTTTCAGGTAACAGCAGAGCATTTATTCGTTCTCGGATAAAATTCAACCATCTCATAATGTACTACTGTCACACAATAGTGAAATCGGTAATGGTTCGTCATACTTGAATTTGAGATATTGACAGTATAGTGCAATTGACCTTAATTCCACATTTATCTGACGAGTTTCTTACGCAAGGACGAAACGATCGTCGCAAGTAGCTTGGAATTACTCTTATAAACACACTCACACCACCCACAATCTGATGAGATCTTTTGTGGGATTGAAACGCATCGTAGTAGCTAAGGCATTAATTCTGTATTTCTTGAATTATGTTAAATCATGTATATCAATATATTTTTTATGAGTTATTTAGTTTTCGACTTAGTCGATTGCTGAAAAGCAAAGCTTGAGACTAGCAGATTGAACTTTCCTGCTTCGTCAAGAGATTAGCCGGTTTGTTGTCAATTAATAATCGCCGTCGTTTCACTGTGTTAGGTATATAGGAGGCTCTAGTCTCGAATCGTATTTGTTTATGATTACTGGCTGAACGAACATCACTGGTATCAGATATTTCGTCTAAAGAAATGATAACATGACACTTTCTGTTAGACGAGTGTATGCAGTCCTCTTACCTTTGTCCAGAAATACAATTTGATCGTTCGAGAACAGTTTGGTTCGTCGTCGTTTTTTCGTATGAAGAGATGCATGACATACAGATAATGATGCTGTTGATAAAGATCTGTTTGACGCTGTTGCAAGTGCTTCATTCACGCAAGCTAATGTTTTATAGGTATCAGAAGTTGTAACTTTATCAGCACTCAATCGATTATCATATTCTAAAAGTTCATCACTAAGCTCATTTGGAAGGTCTTCTACATTTAAAACACCTTGATCTAATAAAAATGGTCGCAGTCGGTTATCAGATCTTGCTTTCTGACCGAATACTGCCTCATAGGGTGATTTATCGATTGACTGAGTCGATTGCGTATTAATCGAATAAATCACTTGTGCTAAACCTAAGTTCAGCAAACCTTCACAGATAGTTATTAATCTATTGACCCGTTACCTTTCGACCAGTCTTTACGATTGTTCGCTTGTATCCATTTGCCTACTGCTGATTCAAGTGTTTGGTTGCTACACTCGACTGATCCTTGCATTTGAGGATGATTAGATCGACCATTGATAATGATTAGATCAGGCCATATGTTTTTCAAACCCTATTTCAATTAAAGCAAGCTGTTCAATAGCACAACATAAACAGTAAGACAGAACTAATACCTTTATTACTTTTGCCACGAATTCTTTTCCATTATTGCTTTGTAAAATTCGTGGTATACCAAACAAACAAAATTGTTGTAGAAGTTTTTCAGCAATATATTCAGTTTCCGTGGTCTTTAGAGGATACGCCCAGGAAAATTCGGTGAAATGATCCCTTGTATGAAGAATCCATTTATATTCGCCATCAGAGACGCTCCTCATATCTATCAAATCGACCTGAAGACGAGTCAAATATCCGATGGGCAAGATTGATTTTGCTTCAAAATAAAGAAGCTTATTCTTATTCTTATTCTCACATTAACCTTAACCTACTACTGGATGGCTTTGAAAATTGTGTCCGATTACAGCATACATCACAGTTTGAGATGAACAGTTTTACACTCTGTATTGGAATCCATGCATATCGATCGTTCACCTGAAAAATGCACTACGTTATTCGATTATAAATCATACACTATTTACCTCCGACCATGTTTTGTCTCGACCATGATGACCAACTCTTTCATGACACTCCCTGATTTTTGTATACAAGTTTTCGTATGTGACAATAGGATGATTAGATTTAATCTCATAAACGATATTTTGATCACCAATTTTGACTAATTTAAAATTTTTATATACCCAAAATTTGAGCTGTGAATCTCCCCAACCATCTCGAAGAACCAAAATTATATCATCATACAATGATTGTCTGATAGAAAATTTATATTGAAACTTGTGATTTAAACCTTGGATGTAATCGTCGAGTAATTTGTAAAAGTATTCTATGACAAAAAGAAAGTGACACGAGAATATTTAGTTAGTAATACACACAACATTTTTTTAAATACATGTTTTTATTTCATTCTGATCTTCTCTCCATTTTATTCGACACAGAAAATATTTTTATTTTTCCTATAGGAATGACTAAAATATCAAGTTTACAGTACCTCTTAAGAAATATTTAGAATCCTCCTGTAGGAAAAAATGAAATTTGAATTCCTCCCAGGAGAAATAGAATTTTGAATTTGTCTTAGGAAAATTTGAAACTTTCCTAAATTTGAATTTCTCCTGTGAGATATATTTCAATTGCTTCTCATTTAACTAGATGGTTTTCGTTCATATATATGTATGGAATAATAGATTCTAACCATGCCTGATGCTTCCCTTAGGTGAAAACGAAACGTCTTGTACTGCCTTGAATCTCATCATTTATTTTTGTGTGCTATTTCTCATTGAGTTTTTCTTTTTTCGAGAACTTGAATCTGAAGGAGACTTAAGTCATCTGATGAGTTACTTGATAGAGGACGAAATCGATCAATATGTCCTTGACTCACCCACTGCCAAATCGCAATGCATCTTAATTTTGGAATATATGTTGTTTTTGTATTATTCTATCGGACTGTTATAACCATAAGTTATGATACTCGTCTCTTTTCAATTCTTTGGTATTACAAAACTCGTATATTGACACAGGCGTATCGCTAATGTTTCGCTTGGTTTTTTTTTCTTTCCTATCAGAGAGGGCATTTTACATGAGTAAAACTTATCTTATATTTGATCTAGTATGTCTCATCTGGCACATTATATAATTGGAGTGTTTTCATGAATATTTTCATTGTTTTGCAAAACCAATATACTAAGAATTAATGTAAGGATTAGATACAATTTATAGTTCATTTTTAACGTATATATTTATGTTTTTCAGTTACATCAACTCATTCGAAGATTACATGGCTTATTCTAATCGAAAAGGAAATCTATCATCGGCAACACATATTGCAAATGCTACTCAAGTAGTATCCAATCAAGTGTGGCGTTACTCAAACATAAATAATGTCAAAGTTGTTTATAACTCAACCGATGCTCAAAAATATTTACTAACTGTTGCCAAGGGGTGGGGAATCGATGAATCTTCTGAAATCGGAAGAAAATTTATGAATGATATACTGAAAGCGACTGAACAACATCATCCCGTACCGACGCATCCATCAATGTTTGAATATCCAATGGAAACGGAACATGAAACACATTATATGCTGATTTTGATCTATGCGAAAGAGGATCGAATTGAAATTGGTTATTCATATCATTATATGACAAATCAAACATCAGCAAAGTGTAGCGATCCAACGATATCACAACGATACTCTATTCAATGGCTTAGAGAAAAAGCTAGACAAAGTTTAAAATTTCCAGCGGCTATAGTTACTTCAATGATAGATAATGACACATCAGCAGTTCAAGATAGTATGCACCGTGGTCATCAACAACAGCTACCACCAGCCTCAATACCCACTGCCTTGTTTGCAAATGCGCTTCATAATGACATTGCAACGGATGATATATCTCAACCAACTTCATCTAACAATCCTGCTCCCCTTGTAAAACCGAACAGTCTCACGGCTAAAATACCGCGCCGTAACTGAGAAGCATCACAATCAGAGACTAACGTAAAGTTCTTGCAGATTTCGTATTTTTTCTTTATTCACGATTCTGCTGCATCATTATTGTAAAATGCTTCAACCATTCATAAATATACGCATAATCTACTAATTTGAATTCATCATACTTTCTCTAAAAACGTTTTACCCGATAGATCATAGGTGTGACAAAAATTCATAACAGATTTGTTTTTTTTTTACATTTAAGATATTTAGTTTTCCTCTTGGGTAATCACGATATGTCAAGTGGTGGAAAAATAACAATCCGACGTTCTGGTGTCGAATCAGTTGAACGACATCGTAAAGAAGCTGGCTCTGTCTGGAAACATACTCACGTGAACGGATCAAGAACACTCTCAAATGCGAATGATGCTGAATCATATATTGACAAATTATCACCTGCATGGGATTTGTCTTCAAGTATGACAGGTAGAATTTTCATTGCTGATATAAAAGCTCAATGTCAAGTTGTGGGTTCTGGTGCAATTGATCATGTGCATGTTGAATTTAATGAAGGAACACAAACAGGCACCGGCAAATATATTTTAGTCGCTATTCATGTAGATCGCGATAACCGAATTACACTTAGCTATACCTATCATGAGGTAAGTGATAGGTTGAAACCTAATTGGATATATACACAATATGCTACTGGTGCTGTGTCAGATTGGTTAAAATCAAAAGCAATAGAAAACCTTCGAGGAATGGTACCATCAAGTAGTCTACCATCTATAACCTATGAATAATTTAATATCAGTTTTCCAATTTATTTTTATGAGTCCACAATAAAACAGTGTGCATACATGTGAAAATGTATTGTTTTTCATTAAAAGTCTTACTTTCAATTATGTTCACAATATAGCTTTACGAAATATAATAAGGGTTAATCGCAGATTGAAATTATTGTTGAAAACACACCAATAATATCAAGGGAAAAACAGCACACGATGGCACTCTGGAACTTCTTATGAGAGTGATATTATGACTGCATCTAAAATTTTCGAGAATCTCATACTACATATTATTCGAGGTTTTTTCTCAAAAACTTATTTGATCATTGTATCATATGATTATTATCAGCTTGAAAGTTTACTTCTTAAACTTTTGACTATAATACAGTGAAGCTCAATAGAATTTACCCCCTTTGTATTTTTTACTTTTAACCATTAAAGTTTGATCTTTTTTTAATAATGACTATATCGCAAGAAATTACAGATTCTGCTGCATCACATGATATATATATCGTAATTAAAAAAGAGA